ACACATACATGGTGTATTTTACCTCATCTAGTGTACTGATTTATTATATATTTATATATATTTTATTATATAAATCAACAACAAAGACTTATGCAATCTCTCTGTCTACATTATGAAAACAGCTAAAACAAACGAAAAATATTATAACAGTGAAATTCCTCGTAATTCCACTAATTCCATAATTGCAATAGTCTATTTCTCTATTAAAACAACAGCGATTGAGTAAGTGTATTTATTCAGCGATCACAATCGCAAACAATATAGTTCAAGTTCAAGTTCAAGTCTGCTTTATTGTCAATTCTTCCACATGTACAGCACATAGATTGCTTAAAATAAGCAAAACACACCGGGCAGAAAATTTATGAATTTAACAGCGAAGCTCTGATTCGGGGATTAGAACTCTTGATATTTGGCAACCGCACTCATGAAAGCTCGCATAGTAGAGGCGTGTAGAGCAGTCTGCAATAACATTTTGTCTCCTTTTTTGACGAAAATAAAAAGAGGTTTTTGGTAAAGTTTTTATCTTTTTGAATACATTTTAGTCTCGTTTTATTTCGTCAACGAAATTGCATGTTGATATAGTCTTAGTTATCATTTATTGACCTCATTGTCGTCTTCGTCTCGTCTTAGTCATGGGAAAAAAGCTCGTCAACGAACATTTTTCGTCATAGTCTTCGTTAACGAAATTAAGTTTTTCCTTCAGTTTTCAAAAAAATCTCCTTCCACATGAAAACGCAAACGCATGCTATGAAGCATTGTCAAGAGCATGCCAAACCAACAGGTGGCGATATAATCTCAACCGTAAAGCCATGTTGGCCAATCAGAAGCCTGAAAAAGTTTCCAGTAGGCGGAGATAACAGCGTGTGCTCCAACAACACAAGCCAAAAACTCCGGTTTTGCCGTCTACATGATAACACTGCAACCAGAGTTTTTGAAAATCTTCACCCTGGCAGGCGTTTTCAAAAATGTTCGGTTTCAGTGAACTGGTGCTGCGTTTGCGTGTGGACGAACGGCCAAACCGCATAGAAAAAGCTGCGGTTTTAAAAATAACCGCGTTCGTGTGGATTCATTTATGTAAAGTGCACTTCTTTTTTGTTTTTTTTCAGTGTGAACACCCTACTTAAGCTATATTATAAAAAGGATAAGTATGCAAATTGGGATGCACCTCTTTATTTAACATTGCTTTCATTGTGAGGTGTGAATATGGGGCAGCATTGTCCTTTTGAGCTCCTGTGATGTCCAGAGCTGGTTATGAATAGTCTGTCAGGCAGAGAGTTGAATAAAGTCAATAAGGAATAACTTCTCCCATTACTATTTGAGGCAGTTAGATGACGGATGCCTTGCATTTACCGCTAAGCGCTATCTAAAGCACTTATAGCCACTTTTCAACCCCCAGACAAGGCAAAAGTAAGCTTGACTTTTTATCTGCTTTTATCCCAGTGCATACTTGCCGCCTTTAAAAAAAAAAAATCAGTTTTACTATTTTATCCTCCCATAATGTAATATGGCGAGCCAAGCACTTCCTGCATATCATAAGGTATTGAAAGGTACAATTGAATTAGACTAAAGAGCTCTGAAGGATGGAGGGCACTCACAATCTCTTTTTTTGCTGTAACTTGACAGCGTGTGCTCCAACAACACAAGCCAAAAACTCCGGTTTTGCCGTCTACATGATAACACTGCAACCAGAGTTTTTGAAAATCTTCACCCTGGCAGGCGTTTTCAAAAATGTTCGGTTTCAGTGAACTGGTGCTGCGTTTGCGTGTGGACGAACGGCCAAACCGCATAGAAAAAGCTGCGGTTTTAAAAATAACCGCGTTCGTGTGGATTCATTTATGTAAAGTGCACTTCTTTTTTGTTTTTTTTCAGTGTGAACACCCTACTTAAGCTATATTATAAAAAGGATAAGTATGCAAATTGGGATGCACCTCTTTATTTAACATTGCTTTCATTGTGAGGTGTGAATATGGGGCAGCATTGTCCTTTTGAGCTCCTGTGATGTCCAGAGCTGGTTATGAATAGTCTGTCAGGCAGAGAGTTGAATAAAGTCAATAAGGAATAACTTCTCCCATTACTATTTGAGGCAGTTAGATGACGGATGCCTTGCATTTACCGCTAAGCGCTATCTAAAGCACTTATAGCCACTTTTCAACCCCCAGACAAGGCAAAAGTAAGCTTGACTTTTTATCTGCTTTTATCCCAGTGCATACTTGCCGCCTTTAAAAAAAAATCCGTTTTACTATTTTATCCTCCCATAATGTGATATAGCGAGCCAAGCACTTCCTGCATATCATAAGGTATTGAAAAGTACAATTGAATTAGACTAAAGAGCTCTGAAGAATGGAGGGTACTCACATTCTCTTTTTTTTTTTTTTGCTGTAAATTGACACTGAAATAGTCTGTCTCATGCCCTCTCAGATGGATAACTTGCATATTAACTGGCTTGAAGCAAATTGTGTCAAAATGGGGCAGAATGCAGTAAATGAGATATCTATCGTTTCAGATCGCATTTCCTCTCATCAGTGGCCTTCTTTATTTCCTCACTCCCGTTAATGGGAGTTTATGACGTCTGCTGATGACCTGACCTTGACTCCTCTTCCACGTCAAATGTACTTTGTTCCACAGAACTAGAGCACAGTTAGTATGCGCCAAATGAGCCGTGTAATTTGTGTTGCTAAACATCCGGCTTCTGACACCTGTGAACTAGTGAAATCAAGAGGCAAAAGCTTACGCTTCTCCCTTTTTTTTTTCTGACGTTGACGTCTTTCAGCTTATATTTTTCTGAGTCTTAGACTTAATCGGGGCCTCTCATCAGATTGGGAATATCTAACGCTCCCAAAAAAGAAAAGCTTTGAATATACATATGATTAATAATTAATTCCATACTTTATTCCCCTTTGAAAGTGATTATGCAGAATAAATATTTCATTTGAGTACAAGACTTACATGACAAGTGCGCTAAGACAAGGGATAGTAATGGCACGCTGTTTGACAAGTCTGTGTAGGATTGCGGTCTGAGAGTTGGCCTCCCTTTCTTATAAATATAGCATTCAAGAGACGATTTAATCCTGCTGTAGGGTTTCTATTCACCTTTACCTTCCGAAAGCTTCTCCTGCTGCTTTCAGCTGCACACTACAGCGTATAAGTGGATCCATGTTAGATTTCACCGTCGGAGTAGCTTGCACGTTACTCAGAGTTTCTGACACCTTTGCACCTGCAAGCAGACAGGTGAGCGGGGCGCAGCGACGTGCCCCAATTATCCACCGTGTTAGTGAATAATCTGGCTGGAGAGAACAGTGGGGTGCCGAGAAACCGCAGGGGGCATCCTGACCTGAGGTGCTATTAATCTGGGTGCAGAACAGCTCAGCAACAGCTCCACTTGTGTGTTTGATGAGCCGCTTATCATGAAGCCCCGCTGCTTCTGAGTGCGGATGTGTTGGGCTCTCTTTTAAAAATGCTCTGTATTAATTAACCCCCTACCCACGGCTCCCCTGTTCAGGCTGATCTCCGCTTGTCTTTTGTTCTTAATGTACTAACCTGAGGTGAGCGCATTTCTGCTTGAAGAGTAACTATGTAGTGGTGGTTTTGTGCAGATGTTGTATTTGTGAGTGCCTGGAAGACTAGAGCCTTTAACTAGTGAATATGTTGCCAGCGCGAGTCAGTTTGTGTCGGTACTTCCAGTTTCATTTTAGGATTATATAGTGCTCTTTCAGTGCATTTGACTTCTCAAATCCTTCAGTACTTTTTGCATCCAATTATCATTAAATTGCCATTAAAAGAACAGTGACTGGGGCTTGTCAGATGCCTAAAGCATTCACATAATTTCATATTCCTTTTGCTCAGCAAAACAGCTTTTGCTTGTGTGGAATGCTTTTGTGAATCAGGCCCATTTTCTCAGCCTTAATTAAGGGCAGACAACAGGGCCTGTCTTGTAAAACTCAGCTGTACACTTAAACCAGCTGTCACAAAGCTGACATCAGTGTCTTAAATCCCCGGCGCGCAGGCCAGCGGTGACAGCGTTGTGGAAGAAATCTCCTTTGGTGGAAAGCATGATGTAGTCTTAAAGTAAAGCCGTGGCATCTCGTGGCAGCCACTAGCCTTTTCGCTTTTAATGAGAAGTCCGTATCTGATTACGAGGACACAGATATCCGCCGAACTATTCAGTGTCATGAATAGAAATACTATGAAACAGGAATTAATGTGTGACCTTTGTATAATAACATTTAATTTTGACTGTTTGAACGGAAGCTTAAAGGTGATCTGTACTGCCCCGCGAGGGCTAAAAGAGATTTTCACTATAAAATTGGTTTCAAGGAAAGGTGGTGCTAAGTCCACCCATACAGTTTTTTACATTTATTACTGGCCTTTTTGCTAGTTTTATTATAGATTAAATTAAAGAGAAGACTGAAAATAATGGGGAGAAAGGAATGGGAAATGGGGATTTTCAAATGTCGTGAGCCAGACTTGAACTTCTGTCGTCTGCATAAGCATCAAAGCTCAGCAGCTCAGAGTCAGTTATGGCTTCAGTCTTCCATGCCAGCATTTATTTTTCACTTTTCATGCACCTTACATTTCAACCTTTTGTCATAAATATTTGCATTATTGTAAAATGAGTGTGTATAACAGGAGGAAAGGTTTAGACGATGTGTATTTGTGTACACTACTATTCACTACTGTTTTTTTTTTCCATGTTTATAAAAAACTCTCATGCTCACCAAGGCTGCATTTATTTGATCACAAATACAGCGAAAACAGTAGTATTGTGAAATATTATTACAATTTGAATATATTTTCTAGTGTAATCTATTCCTTTGATGGCAAAGCTGAATTTTCAGCCATTTCTCCAGTCTTCAGTGTCACATAATTCTTCAGAAATCATTCTAATATACTGATTTGGTCCTCAAGAAACACTTATTTATATGATTGTTGAAAACAGTTGTGCTGCTTAATTTCTTCTTGGAAATTAACAGTTGTCTTTTTTCAGGATTCTCTGAAGACCA